CTGTCATCTTTCTCTCTCTCTCCCTCTTCTCTCTCTCTCTCTCTCTCTCTCTCTCTCTCTCTAGACCACCGTTGCCAAATCTTTCTTCCTAGCCTCTAGCGCTTCATCAGCATGCTCTCACTCGCTTCATCATATGCTCTCATTACCCAAGACAAAACTGTCTTAGAAAAGCGTCATCGGCCGTTTCTTGCGTACTTTCGTGACGTGCGGGACATTGATAAAATAAATTAATGATGAGAGTAATGGTTAAATAAACAATGGAAGGGCTCCTAATGTGCAGTTGCTAAAAACTATAAGAGAAAAGGTAAGCTAATCGAAACACAGACAAACAATAGAGATAAAATAGTACAGGATAAAAAGAAAAGCGTGTCAAGATAGGAGGAGAGACGCGTAGGAGGCGTCATAAACAGCTGCATATTTGTTAAGGCTGCGTTCATACTTTGCGGCAGCGTCCAATAGCCGACCACCAATGACCATCATCTTTTCAAGCGTCCTAGCAGCGTCAGCGACAGGAAATTAAAGATATCGACCTAGCGAACGGCAGCGTCGACCAGCGACCAGGAGTACGGTATTGAGTAGTAGTGCGGTGCGGTAGCACACGCCACAATTTCTCGACGCCAAATCCAGCTGTCTCCTCCCGTACTCCACCAACAGTCTGCTTTCCTCCTACCTCCCCATTTTCTGGTCGCTGGTAGACGCTAGTGGACGTTGAATCGATATCCATGCTTTGCTAGTCCCGAGAGATATTGATGGTCGTTGGTAGACGCTTGTATACACTGGGATATGCTGCCTTGCGCTTTATCAATGTCTATCCTTTCTTGATCACTGACGGACGCACGGAACGCTGATGGTCGCTGGTGGACGCAGCCGCAAAGTATGAATGGAGCCTAAGACAACGTGCGATGCACATTACGCAGCGCGGCGAAGGAGACACCGGAAGTGAAGTCACTTGTGCCTCAAAGGCCCCAAGATCTGATCGGCTCGACGGGGAGCGCTCGGGTGAACGACTAATTTTTTCGCCGAATGCTTGATTTACTTCGTAAAGAACGCTCTGCGGCCGTTGTTGCTTTTGCTCTTTCTACAAGTCCTTATTCTCATTTCATATTATGTTTTCTTGTCCTGTGCTGGGGCTCTTATCTGAGAACGCTGCTCGCCGCTCTAGTCCCGTTATCGAAGAGAGCCGGGCTTCCTGGTTATGAAAAAAAATACAATAAGCAACGATGTGAAGGGCACTAAGGGTTTGGTCATCCCAGATAGTCACAGTTTATATCACCGCGACCTGTCGGGTCGCAATCAGCGGTTCCCACCTGCGGCCTTCCCACCAGTGGCTGATTCCTTCCTACATCGATCATTGCTCGATCACCATTGGTAGAGCAAGGCAGCCGGACGCGAGCTCGTGCCGCGCTGCGCTCGCCGCCCCCGACAAATTGCAATGTTGCAAACTATACGTTTTTCTTGAAGAAGGTTTGGGTGATGGTGTTGAGATTTTCACAGTCTCCACTGTACCACAGCATATTCAGATGAAAGTCCATCGTTGAACTCTCGTATTTGTGCGAAAAATTCTTAGATGCCTCTAAGAATTTTTAACACATTCGAGGCGAAGGCCATTTCGCCCAGAACTCACGTTCGTCGTTGTTTTTGGCTTATTTTTACAATTTTTTCTTCGTATTGATGTGTTAATTGTGTAATGTATGCTAGTAGAATATCAGTCGCAGAAAGAACAAAAAAATGCGCGTGTTTTCGCAATACGTACGAATGACCAAAAACAGGGTTTCTGCGTGTACTCCCGGAAGTACACGCCGCCTCAAACGTGTGAATTATCGACTTCTGTCCCTTGAACTTGAGGGTGCTCGGAAAAGGTCACGACAGGCTAGTGCTGGACATGTGCACCGTCACAGGGCAGTTCAGCTCAATCCGCTCGCAGGGTGGTGGGGGGACATTTTGAAAAGCCCTCCAAACTATGAAGCTGATGGTTCCAATTTCATTTTATACACATTATTTAGTCGCGGTCAGTCGGGGCGGTGTCAGCTGGAACGGAATGAGTCCTGTTTGTTTTATTCCAGAATCGATCACTTAGCCTTATTGGTAGAGCAAGGACTCATTACGCCTCTTCTCACACCTTCCCGACAATATCAACATGTGGAAGGGACTCTGCCTATGGGGAAACCATGGAATGTCTTCAGAAGACAGGGCTATCCCGGCAGCACCAGATATCTCGAAAATAGGAAGGCGTGGCTAGGTATTCACCTAAACAGCATGGTGTCAGACGTTTTTCGTAGTATGTCTCACGTGCCAACTATCGTCCTATTATGTGCTGGACAAGTACATGAACTCAGTTCCAAAAGAGCAATGTTCCACCAAAAATGCAGCCGCCGCACGTTCACATGAGTGCGTAGCCACGCCCTCTTAGTCTCCGCGATATGGAGTGCACAGCCTATGCTTCATAGAAGAAGTAGATGAAAATTTCGGAAGCTAATGCTCTCCACTGCCATCCCATATTCTCGGAAATAAACTTTCTTTTTCCTGGATGAATGGGTGATGGTTAGGGCAATTGACGATCCAGAGTCCACGAGCGAACACCTGTCGCCAGCCGTGGGAATACCGGATTTTTTGGACTTTGTGGACGATTTATATTCCAGCAGACAATTTTATTTTAGGCGCTTCACTACAGTACTAGCTGAGACTGCTCGATGGGTTCTCTCAACGGATTTCATCGAGTCCTTCATCGAGAAAAATCAGGAAAGAAATGCACACATGGGCAATATCAGTTATCAGATCGGTGATGCGGTCCATTTACAAATGGATGAGAAAAGGTAGTGTGAGTTCTTTTTCTAACTTCTGTTCTTCCATTTTTCGTCCATGAAGCCCTCCTCAACAAGCACTGTGTTACAGCGTTGATCTCGTTTTTACCAACTGGTTGATGATGTATCTCTCTGATCGTGAAGTCATCGAATTCCTCTTCAATGCTATGCGGATGGTTGAGAGCTGATGGGTACCTCCATCTCAGAGAAAGCTGCTCTGAACCGAGTACTGGTGAGTCTTGTACTCCATACTACCCTAGTTAGGCCAATAGGGCCCTTTTTCTAGCTGGGTGACTTACACGCCTCACCTTGGATCTGTGGGCATTTGTTAAATGTAAACGAAACAGTTGCTGGTGCTCAGCTCCACAAGTGTTCACAAGAGACAACGGCAATAATCAATGGAACCGGCAAAATGCCTCCCCACCCATCGTACTGAACTGCGCCACTTGTTCCAGCGAGGATGTCCTTTTCTGGGGATATCTCGTTGTTTTCATGTATTTCACACCACTGTGAAATGATAACAAATCACTTAGGCGTTGAATTCTCACAAAACGTGTGCAGGAGGTATTTGGATGTGCAAGTAATAAGCTTTTAGAGCAGGCGACAGAGGTCGACAATGAGGAAAAACTGACCTGTTGGGCGAGAGGTGAAAGTGGAATGAAATATGATAAGTAGGAAAAGTCTAGCGATTTCAGCAGTCAATTTCAGTGGGAGTGTTGGCAAGGGGCGGAGGTTCCAGTTTAACGTTATTGGTGAAAGGGCATCGAGGAACATCCGCCGACGCGCTATAGGGTTTTGCACAAAGCCTTT